GTTTTAATTTTAATTAGTATAATAATAGAGAGTATATATATATATATATATATATATATATATTGTCTGGAATTTCAAAAACTTATTGGATTATGTTATTTATAAGTGAATTGATACAAAATAAAAAATGTATCACAAGATTGTTCAAGCTCAAACTTCAATTCTTTTCTTTCAGTATTTTTGCTTTATTATTTTATTTCATCCTTTACAACTGCAATAATAGTAAATGATATATTTTTATAAGTATTACAAGATTTTATTATGATAACAATAAAGAATGTTATACATATTGTTGTTTGGAATTTTAAAAACTTATTTGATATGTTATTAGATTATGCTATTTATAAAATAGAATTGATATAAAATAAAAAAAATGTATCATAAGATTGTTCAAACTTCAATTCTTTTCTTTCAGTATTCTTGCTTTATAACTTCATTTCATCTTTTAGAGTTACAATAGTAGCAAGTGATATATTTTTATCTTTTTATGATATATTGAATTATGCTATTTATAAGATAGAATTGATATAAAATAAATAATGTATTACAACGTTGTTCAAGTTCTTCAATCCTTTTTTCAGTATTTTTGTTTTATTACTTTATTTCATTTTTTATAGCTGCATAGTAGCAAATGATATATTTTTATTACAAAGTTTTATTATGATAATAACAATAGAGAGTATTATGTATATTGTTATCTGGAATTTCAAACACTTATTGGATTATGGTATTTATAAGATAGAATTGATAAAATAATAACAAGATTGTTCAAGCTTAAATTTCAATCCTTTTCTTTTAATATTTTTGCTTTATTACTTTATTTCATCCTTTAGAGTTGCAATAATAGCAAATGCTATATTTTTATAAGTATTACAAGATTTTATTATAATAACAATAAAGAGTGTCATACATATTATTGGAATTTCAAAAACTTATTTGGTATGTTATTATGCTTTATAAGTGAATTGATATAAAGTAAAATGTATCACAAAATTATTCAAACTTCAATTCTTTTCTTTCAATATTTTTGCTTTATTTCACCTTTTAGAGCGAATGATATATAGAGTGTCTCTGGATCAAACTGCACCAGTATGAGTAAAAATAAGAAAAGAATGTTCTACAAACATACATTGCATTGAAAGTTTTCTGTTTTCATTTCAAAATGGCATCTCCCATTACGCTTGACATCTTGGAGAAACTGAATTCATTATTCTCCGAATTTCATCGTTATCTTACTTCAGTTCGGTGAATGCACTATTAATCCTTTCTATTATTTGAACGATACACGATCGCAGATAAAAATCTCGGGCGTCCCCCCTCCCGAGCAACGTGCCTGCCCCCCTTCGACCGATCCATCTTTCACGAAAACGTTCGTGAACGAATTCCAGCTCGATATTTCATATTTTTCTTACAATTTATTTCCTTATTTTTATTCGTAGAATATATTTGATCGTTTAATCGTTCAACAACAATACAAGAATACGTGACATTTCAAGTTTAAATATTATCGTAGCGGCGATATTTATACCACGAGTGTTGTCATCAAAGATATCCTTCGATTGTCTTTGTTCCCAAGACAAAGTACGAATGCCCAACCGCAGTTGAGCGAACAGATTCACAGAGTGAACACGGCCGATTTCGATACACGCGTGCACGCGACTCGATCCCGCGATAGAAGGCACGAACAAGGAGAAGCTCCTCGAAACACGTACGGCAATTACAACCGACCATTCCGGAAAATAGAGGGTTTCCATCCCGCGATTGTTATCTACACGTGTTGTTTATCGATTGTTTCGTTGTCTGCCGAGGGAGTGCCTCCGTGTACGCGCGATTCACCGAACAAGCACGGCTGTCGGTAATTGCCACGGCTGCGCGAGCAGGAGAAATCTAACGTAAATCTAAACGCGATACGCGTTTCAACCCGTTCAAGAAGGGATCACCTTCCAGGAAATGGATCGATCCTTACATTTTTACCGAACCTTGTCAAACCCCTCTGAAACCCTGTGAAAAGGGAAGAGGAGTCCGTCTTCGTCCGATATTTCCATTTCGAGAGCGTAGTTCGTGAGAAATATCGAAGAATTCCTGGGAGAAATCTTGGGAACGGTGCGTAAATTTCCTCTCCGATCAATTTGTTTCGCATCTCTTGACGGAAGAAAGAAAGAAAGAAAGAAAGAAAGAAAAATAAATAAATAAATAAATTCGAATCGTCCGTTTCCAGATCGATATCGTCTCGATCTCCACGTGGACGTGGAAGATGTCGGGAGGCTTCGTCCGCCGGATAGATAACCGAAGAAGAAGGGAAAGAAGAAATTGAGAGGGGGGGAGAGGTTGGGACGAATGGTAATTGGGCGGAAAGATAACGGAAAACGGTGTGGCGTGTCCCCTACCCACGTTGGCAAAGGTGAGAGAAGGTTGAGAGAAGGCTCGTAGGATTATCGCGCGGCGGAAAGTGAGCGGGCGAAGGAGAGGATGGAAGGAAGGAATACGCGCACCACCGCCGTATTGGTATCGTTGGTACGCTCGCACCCACGGCGCACCCCGTTAACGCGCTGCCATTTTCGATAAGAGAGGTTGCAAGGACGACGGTGATCGCGCTCGACGCGTAGGCAAGCTGCTCGTAAAGTGTTTAGCCAAGGGGGCGGGGAGGCAGGTGGAGGAGGACTCGTCGGAACAGGAGTAGATGAGTTAAACTACACGAGGTCTGACGCCAGTAATTGAGTGCCGCTCTGTCTAGTTAGCGCCTCGTGCCACCGGCTCACAACCCGTCACTTTATCGGCTAAACGACATGCGATGCGTGACAAATCCATCTTGCCTTAACCGCGGCGGCGCCTATGCTCGGCGTGGAGGGGGGCCCGCGTTGATTATCGGACCACGTCGAATTCGTTCGGCGTTCCTCTGATAATTAACCACCACTCCTCTCCCCCCTCGCGCTTCCCCAACTTCGTTGGCTTGGAAGAAGAAGGCTCGGGTTACAGTTTCTTGCGGTTCAAGATTCGCGCGGTAAGAAAAAGGTAAGAAGATCTCCGTTTTTTCCTTCTCCCTCTCCCCCCTCCCCCTCGGTCCCTGTTTCGTCTCGTTCCTCCTTCTCCTCCTCCTCCTCCTTTCGTTCTCGCGGCAAATCAGATTTTGAAGAGAGAGAGAGAGAACGAAAACGAAACGAATACGAGCCGGCTAGTTTGGCTCTCGAGCGGATAATTGAATTATGCGAGCCGAGGGGCCGGCTTCCGAAAGGGGAAGGAAGAAAGAAAGAAA